TTTATTTGAAAAACACGCTTCATCCCCAAAAGCTCGAAGCGCGGTACAAAGTCAACCATATTAAAAAGAGAAATAAAAACAATCTAAAATTTACCACATTTAAAAACAGACGCAACAATATAAAGCTACATACGAGCATACCCAATCAAAGTCTTTCATCCCGTTTCAACCACACAAGCCAATATACATTAACTGAAGAAGATGGTAGATAGCATCACCCCAGAAGGTGTTTGCGAAATAGATGTGTTTTTAAATCGGTTTTAAAGGACTCCAGTGTCTGGCTGTTTCTGAGAGCGACTGGAAGTGCGTTCCAAATTGTTGGACCGACAAATGCAAAAGTACGCTTTCCGTAAGTCTCAAGGCGAACACACGGTATCGATATTTTGCCACTATCGGATGAGCGGAGCTCTCTAGTGGGTTCATAAGGCGTCATGAGTGCTTTGAGATAAGATGGCGCCAGGTCATGTAAGCAGCGGTAGCACAAAGTTGCAATTTTGTACTCTATGCGAGATATATAAGTGAAAATGTGCTTATTTGTTGATTTGTTCTACCTATGTTTCTACATGGATTGATGGATCTTGAACAAAATTGGCACAAATATCCATCATTTTCCACAATGAAATACTGAGGGGTTTCGAACTTAACAAAACGGGGGCCAAAACTTATATGAGCTATATAAATATAATTTCAAACATTGACAATGGCATGGATGGATGCATCTAAACCAAAATTTGTTGGCAAACATTTGATTATCAAAGATTCAAATGCTGGTGGGTTCTGAACTCATTATATCCACTACTTTAGGGATGGGGGCCCCAATTTAATTTTTCCTTACATTTTTTGTTTTTGTTCAGCATATGTTTGTACATGGATTGATATATCTTGACCACACTTGGCCCTGATATCCTTCATTATCCAGAAAGAAATACTGGGAGGTTTTGAACTTTACAAAATAATTTTTTCAAGGTCGTGATCTTCTAAATCCAATTATCCCTTATATGAGCTAATGAGCTATATAAATAAAATATCAATGATATGCTATTACATGGGTAGATGGATCTAGACCAGGAGTCCGGAACCTATGGCTTGCGAACCAGATGTGGCTCTATTGATGGCTGCATCTTGCTCGCAGACAAACATTCCATTATAACAAAAAGTCGCATTAATGGTAAGAAATACTCATTATTGATTAGCAACAGCATAACAATGTTATTAAAAAGAATTCAGAGACCTAATTATTGCATTTTTAGTGTTGAAATTACACTAAATGCATACATTTACTTGAATTTTTAGTTTTAAACATAATGTATGGCTCTCAGAGATTTACTTTTCAAAATATGTGGTGTCCATGGCTCTCTCAGACAAAAAGGTTCCCGACCCCTGATCTAGACCAAACTTCGCACACATACACTTGATTATCCATATTCACATAATCATGCAAATTGAACTAATAATATCCACTACTTTGGAGCCAGAGACCCTAATGTGACTTTTCCTTTATAAGCTATATAAATACCAATAGGATAAGATAACAATATATGCTTCAACAGGAATCGATAGATCTAGGCAAAGTTTAGTAGCAAGACCCTTCATAGTCTATATTGAAATTTTGGTGTATTTAAAATTAATAATATCCACTCCGTTCGATGATTCAGGGCTGGTCTAGAGCTTTCTAGACAGCTTGACAATTTAAAAGACTAGATCTCCTGCATTTTCAACTGATTTTTAATGGGACAACTTTTTAATTGGGCCCCCCTAATCAAGGCAATAACTAAAACTGCAACTTATTTAATTGCCCCCGACACATTTAAATTAAATGAAAGATGGTTTAAGGCATGAAGTTGTAGATTTTATCATATTTGAAAACTGATTGCGAGAATAATCATTTTTCCCTTGGGGGGGGGGGATTTAAATCTAAAATTTTCCAGAAAGTTCTATATTGTTCCAAAGAGACATTTTTTGGGATCTAAAACCTTATAGAAAATTGTATTTTAGTTCTTGTTCCCTTTGGGGGGGGGGGGATTTAAATCTAAAATTTTCCAGAAAGTTCTATATTGTTCCAAAGAGACATTTTTTGGGATCTAAAACCTTATAGAAAATTGTATTTTAGTTCTATAGATTTCTATACCTGGGATTTCTAAATCTGGGAATGGGATCCCTCTAGGGAATGGGTTCACAACAATTAAAGGGAACCCAATGGAGAAAGGGATCCCATCAGTGAATGAGATTTAAGGAGGGAACAGGATCCCATCAGAGAACAGAATTCCCCTGGGATATGGAATCCCACCAAGATATGGGATCCTAGCAGGGAAGGGAACCCACTGAGGGGGAATCTGGAGCCAAATGGGATAGTATTTAATAAATGTGTTTTTAGAAAACAATTTTTTTTTAATTTCTTATTCTAAGCGATGTGTATTTTACCGATCCCTTAATTTCAATGTTAGTATTGTTAGCTAAAGGGCTGAAGAAGTTTGTTTTTTCTCATCTAATGCATCCAAGATCATTTATAAATTATAATACAAGTTCTGATAAAAACAATAAAAAAATTACCCTATCTTATACTTTAATAATAATAAATACTAAATACTTTCTAAATATATGACTAGGTGAGCACACTAGGACTAGGAGCATATAGGCATAGACTATGCCTTAGTAAAGTAAGCCGTAAGTTGTAAGTGCCAATAAATCCTATATTCCTATCTATGCAGAGGCATCAGTAGCGATCATGTAACCTCGGTGCATTAATTTTAACTCATTCATTTTTATAGTGTCACTCAACATAATGAAATAAAAAATAAAATGACACCTGCAAAGCCAAGGCCAAGGCCAAAGTGCTTTGGCTTTGCAAAGTTTGAGTAGTAAAGTATTAATATTAATACTATTACTAATTACTATTACTATTAGTATAATCATTAGGCATTAGGCCGTTAGGCATTAGGCATTTTAATTTTAGGGACATCACCAGGGCTAGGACCAGACAAAGTAGGCATGTGCCTATATTACAAAAACTCACAATGATAGTGATAGTAATAGTATTATAGTATAGTAGTAAACTTAAAGGGTGCCGATGGTAATTGGCATTATTTACTAGATAGACTATTTATTTCCAACTCAATTGTCAACATTTCAGGTTATCACTGATAGAATGGAATGTTTCTTTTCATTTGAAGTTTCGTGGTTTTCTTTTAATAGATTTACATTCTTTTCTAAATAACACCCACTGGTCACAGAATGCAATGACGTCACACAAACTGGAAGACAAAATGGATTGTAGACTTACATAATTATTCAGAAATATGTAATTTATATATTATATTACAGATACGTTTAATTTAATTATAACGTTATTAACAAATGAAGTTAAAAAGAAAAAAGCTTCCAGTTATAGTAAGTATTGAGAAATTGAAGGGAAAAAATCCCCAGATTATGGTCTGCCAGTTTGGACCACATCAGCAAAATAATGTTGAAGACATTGTATTTTTTTTTTAATCGAAAGGAAGCCATGCTTATACTAACTGATAGACCAGAAAATCCATTTTCATGTTGCTATTTAATCTTATTTTAAAAATAAGTATTTATTTTTTATTAATTTCTCTTTCTTTGCCTTTAATCTAGTATCATATGTAATTAAGCTAGAAATCTTATGTTACTACAACATCGGTTAACAAATATAGCTTCTATTTACTATTTATCATTTTTAGACTTAATTTTTTAAGAATTCAGGCAACGGTAAATGGAAACTTGCTAAGATGGCAAGGAAATGGAAGATACAATACAATATGACTTAGTAGTTTGAGGTGCATTACTATACCATAATAATAATTGCAATTTACAGTGTTTCATCTTTACGTGAAATAGGTAACTATTTTATTAACTTTAAAAAAATTAAAATTAATATATTACGGATTACGATAGAAATATGTTAAGAAATCACCAACCTTGAAGGAAGCTTCGACGAACTTACGAAGTAAGCATATTTGACTACTTAAACTTAGTCTTAGTTAAGCCCTATGCCATCTTGCATGACAGTTTAAGCCTAAAACCAATTAAGGTTAACTAATAAAAAAAAAGATCAAAGTAAAGCCAAAGCTAATTTAATTATTTAGGTATTTATTTTATGGCAATGAATGTTGAATCATGAATGATGAGTGTCATGTCAAAATTGAGAGGCCAAGCCTATCAGATCCTTATGGGCAGGCCTGCATAGCTCAAAATTTAAGGTGGGCTATAATACGTTATGAAAAAATTATGTGGGCCTAAAAATAATAGGACAGGGAGGAAAGCTATTAAGAAAATAATAATAAATAATATTTTGTTTCTTCGTGGGCCATATGGTTGTGCATGCCTGCTTTTATGGACATCCACACTATCACTAATAAATTGAATAATCATAATGAATCATATGCAGATTATTAGGCTTTATCCTTTCAAATCTATAGCATTCTTCAACAAATGCAACTTTGAAAATGAAGTGAAAGCTAATATGAGACCAATTATGAACTGGAAAGAAATAATATTTTGGGGAAGATTCAAGATAGTGATCATAGTCATAGTATATAATATAATAATATGGATAACGGGGTAATTTAACTGATTAGCTACCAGAATTAAAAACCCACCGTGGCCGAATTAATCTAGGTCAAATTTACTGTGATACAAACATTGGCGCTACCAGCTGCTCGTGTCCATAACAAAAGAAATGCTCTGCTGCTCCCACAGGCTCATGGTAATCTTGAAAAAGACAAAATAATGAATGAGTTTTCAAAAAAGCCTGGTTCAGCAAATGGGACCCAGTTAAAACAAAATTGAGGGTAAAAACAAAAAGTTCAGATAAAAAATACATGAGAATTGTATGAGCCAATCTCTGACGCATAACTATGGTTTAGTATTAGTAATGAGTCAAGTTGTCTATGAATAAAAAATAAAATGACTTTAGCTCAATATACTCATTATGTACATTATTATTATTATAAGTAGTTTTATATAGTGTAGTACCCCAGCCTAGGGCTTGGCTCACCACGCTGTACATACAATTTAACAAACATAATCAAGAACATAAAAAATTAATTAACATACATTAATTAAAAAAAACAACAAATGTACATCCGACAGTATGGGGGCTTGAAACTGCATGCTCACTTAATGTAAGTTATAAATTAGGCCTAAGTGCTAAAAGTAATCAAGGCATAACAATCAATCTGACTGTAGACTACATTAAAAGCTACAAGTATAAAAATTACAAAATTATAAAAGGCTTTTACTTAAAATTATTTTGTCTCTCACAAAATTGTTCTCATTTACAAGTCATTTTATTTCAATGTCTTTTTCATAATTGTTCATTTATCAAATAAGTCTTCATCCCTGTTAATCAATGTTATTCTAAATGTGTTTATGTTATCACTAAGACTAGAGAGATAAAATACTCAAACCATTTCATAAATCAGCAGGCCTAAAATTAATACTTTAATCGAACTTGAAATAATATTTAAGTATAGCACTGTGGGCTCAAAAGAAAAAATTAAGGCTTAACAAGGAGTCATTTAAAATATTGATTTCATAGGTTAGATAATGAAGTCATTGATGGAATTTAGAAGCAAAAGAATTATCCAAGCAGGAAGTAATGGTGTCGTCTTTTAACTTACACAATACTTCAATAATTTGGCCTACCTTCATATCTGAGAGACTAAGGGGTCCATCCGTAAACGGGGACACATATCTAAGAGTGGGGCTCACAAATTTGTTATGATGTATTAATGTATCATACGAGTGTCTAAATTGTGTGACGAATTGACAACGACGGAAGGGGGCCTAAAGTCATAGAAAATGGTGTGAAGGCCCCTAACCACTTAATTATTCTTTGATTTCGTTGAAGGTTAGTTGTCATGTCTAGAAGTGAATTGTGAGAAAGTAATATTCATCAACAATATAAATAAAGATACATTGTCTCTCTGTTTTTTAAATACACGTAAATTATGCATCATGTACATTTTGTTTCATTTTATTACTTTTAAAGTATTATTTCATTTTGAAGACAAAAATCAAAATACCTGCACAGGCTTTCCATGTTGAAAATCCAAGTGTAAGGTGTAAATTGGAGTTATCTTGTGCCACCATGTTTATATCTAGCCTCAATGATAGTAAATATATACTTCAATATGCTTGTACCAATATATATGAAACTAGGGCTTAACCATGTTGCAGTTTTTTTTACACCTGGTCTGGGTATTTTGAGAAAATAACCGACGGGTCCCAAGAGTTAACTTCTCATTTTCTAAAAAATGCAATGAAATGTACTGCCCTATTTCGTAGTGAGGGTGCATTGCCTTTGTCAAACATTTTTTTTTATACTGGATCTGGGTATTTTGAGAAAATAACTGTTCAGTCCAAAGAGTTAACTTTTCATTTTCTATAACATGCAACGAAATCTACTGCCCTAGTTTGTGGTGAGAGTGCATTGCCTTTGCCAACTATTTGTGTCAAGAAATAACCCATTGATAGGAACAGGCAGTTGCCGGATCCCGGAATAGAGATGACATTGTACAAAAACCTGTCGACAGAGAAGATACTGTCATTCATTTTATAACAAAGCCTTAGGAAACAACAGAAAATAGCAATAGCTTCTTATACCAGGCTTCGGAAAAGAATTGCAGGCACACCCATGCCCGAAGTGAAAGGACTGCCTACGACCTAGTTCTATGTGATGTGCAGCCCCAGAACAAAGATGTGAAAAAACAGTGACATTTTTTAAAATAAAAAGTCTTTTCACAAGAAACAAAAAAATCAAGCTATTTACTAGAATTCAGATATTATACATGGAGCTGGCTGTGTGACAGAGGAGCATTAACAATAAAAACACCAAATAAAAGTCACCTCCTCCTAAAGAAAAAAAAAACAATCTATTTACTAGAGTTCAGATGTTAGGCATGAAGTTTAGGCATGAAGTTTGCTGTGTGACAGCTTTTTTTTTCACTTGGTACTATTAATATAAAACATAATGTATATAGGGGGTGTGGTGTGTGTTGTGTTAGAAGAGGAACAAAGACGCACCAGAAGTAAAACATGTATAAGAGATGTTTAATTATGTATAAATGAGCTGTTGGCTACTATATTCTCAGTAATTTTAAAACCAGCTTTTGCGTTTGAGACTTCAGAGGTCACTGTTTTGACCCACAAAATTATAAAACTTTAATCTAGAATTATTATTTTTCTTTTTACATAACTTTTTTTTTACATTTAATATTATTCTTTGAGAAGTATCACTGTCTTGTTTAAATGATCAACTTTTTTGAGGGACTTCTCCTTGGTTCAAATGTAATACTGCTTTGTTATTTAAATGTAAGTGATTTTAAAAAAGCTATCCACAGCTATTAGTGGGACCAGAAGCATATGTAATCTTTTTTCTGCAGGTGCAAGCTCCCATTCTCAATTGAGTAAAATTGTCTTAGCTTCTGCCTCTGATCAATATTTCCAACATTAACTTGTGTGCAGTCTTTGTGTGGAAATGTAAATTTAGGTCAAGTGCTTAGCAGGAGAAACATATTAAATCAATATTTAAAAAGGCAACATGGCATACATGACAAGTTATAGCATACACTTTTGGTAATATCAATGACATTTACATCTTAATTAAAGTAATACCTACTTGGGAGCTGCAAAAGTTAGAATTTAATTCCAGTTTTAATGCAAGATTTATGAAAATCTTATTAAAAAGTTATGAGGAAAAAAGTTACATTTTCTGAGAATACATAGGAGAAAATATGATGGCACCTGTTAAATTTCATAGTCTAATTTGGCTGCATATTTAAAGTGCTTTCCGAAAGGACAGATTTCTTTATAAGATAAGCATACTTAAAATCTAAATTCATATTTAAAACATCTGTCTAAGTGAAAGAAAAAAAAACTGATAAAATAAATTAGAGACGTTACTTAACTTGTAATTCTTAATTTATTAATTTCAATGGTGTGACACATTGTATTACTGCTGTTAGTCAAGCCTTAATCAAAAATGTTTCCTCCATGCAGTGTTTAAATGTTCTTCTTCCATTTCGGGCTACTAGGTCATGGATAATCATTCTAATATGGATGGGCTTGATGGATTGCCTATGGATTTGTGGATGAACCAGCAACACCCTGATTCAAATATGACCTCATCTGTTTTCCACCACCCATCAGCACAACCTATGAGAGATTATTTATCTGTAACTCCTAGAACTATGCCAGCTGCCTTTGGTAATTTTCTAATTTTCTGTAAATGAGCATTTATCTATATACATCTTATCAATGCAGCAAAAATAAACCAGGTACAGCTTAAATAGCTTATTACTATTGATAACATACATTTGCTTAGAAAACTAGATTAGATTATTTATACTGTACTTTTTAACCTCACAAACCCAGAATTTTTATTGAAATAATTTTTGACTCAGTTTTCTTTTTTACTTTCAGATGATTCATTGGCACCAATGGTTCAGAACGCTCATATGATGTCATCATATGGTCGTTGTCTGCCCACTCAGTCACATCAGCCTGATAGACAGGCACCAACATTAGAAAGATCGGCATGGTCACATATTATGTCCCTTGATCAAGCCATAGGATCTTATGAGACCCAGGAGTCTATGAGGCATTTACCAAACAGGTATTCACCACTTGATGAATACAAGTCAAGGGAAGAATCTTTAAAACCTACTTCATTGCCTACCTCATTTCCAAGTGGAATTTTGCCTAGACTGCCCTCAGCTCCAAATAGTTCGAATAATTTTTCACCAATGTCATTTTTAAATACATCTCAAGATAAAGTTTCACAATTGAATGAATTGATGAATCTAACAAAAACCACGAAGACTCTTAACACTCAGTCATTAACTATTTCTACTGATGTGTCCTCACTTGAATCATCTGGTGACTACTCTCCAGTATCGCCCCCAACAACAATTTCAGATCAGTTGTCCAGTCATAACCCAAACAGAGTGGCAGAAACATTAAGAGATGATGCATTAAGCTCAAATTATGGATCACTGCCTGCAGACACAACTGATATATTTAGTTACTTTTCTAGCAAAAATGAGAGCTTTCCTATTAGTCAGGACAAGCTGTCTTATTCACAGCCAAGCCATGTTACTACTACCAACAATTTACCCAGTCCTTCAGATGTCCCACTTGATATGACTAAAGTCATTATTTCCAAAGAGGATAGTACTCAATCATCTATAATGCCTAAATTGATATCAAGTCATCTTGTGTTTGATTCCAACAATAAACAGCCTATGAATTCTGTAGGCAATGAAAGATCACCTTTATTACAGACCTTGCTGTGCAAAGGCCAGGTGAACACCACTGATGTAACTAATATAAAATCAACTCAACCACAGCTTACATTTAGTCCTCAAATTAAATTTATTCAGCCAGTTAAAAGCACTCCAAAAAAGTCAAATTTTTATGGTAGAGATGCTTCACTCTTTTCTTTTCCACTAGAAAACAAACCATTGGGTTCACCACACACAATAGAGGGTGCCTCTGGATCTATGGATTCTACCCAAATATTTTCATTTGATGACTCAATAAAAAATGTGAATATGAGAGGTGAAGATTTTGTAGATAATATAGAGGAGAGTGAGGTACCCAATGAAAGGGCCGACAATGGGAATCTAATTACTGACAATGTTGATTCCAGCCAAGAGTTTATAACCAGTGATCATTCTCTTCTGGCTGAATCAAAAGTATTATTAAATTCTATGGAAACTTCTGATTCAGTGAGTGATTTAATCCCATCAGGATTTAACTCTAGTAATCTACAGTCAGTAGATTCATTTATAGAAAATGCTACTCGCAAAGAAGTAGGTGGTGATGAAATTTCCATTGACCAGAAAGAGTCACTAGATGACCATAAAAATGAACCTGAAAATTTATTGCAAGGTAACAATTTAATGGATGATCCCTTGAATGGCACTAGTATAAATGATAATTTAGAGCCAGATGATACTACCCTTTCACCCCCTGAAACACATGGCAAAGGCAAACGGAAGAAGCGCAAGGGAGTTGCACTAAAGGCCAAACCCCGTAAGCAACCCGCACGGAAACGAGGACGTCCACAGCGTATAAATGTAAATCTTGCCATGGAAACATTAAATGAAATCAATGATGCAAGTGCAGACAACGGTGATGAGATTCACACAGAAGATGTGGTTGTAGGGACTCAAAGGGTAAGGAAAAAAAGGGGGCCACCACAACCTCGGACTCCCAACCTAGATGTAGCACCTAGAAGGAGCTCCAGTCGCAAGTCAAAGGATAATGCCATGAGACTTATAGAGCTACAAGCTGATTCAAACTACAGTGGTATTCGCCAACCTGAAGAAGAAATACCTTTGGAAAAGAAATCTGTTCGCAAGGCTAAAAAAAATGCAAATAAGCTTTCTGCTTTAGAAGATGAATTGAGTGATATCAGTGATAATAATTCATTAGGAGATAAAAGTGATGATGACTATGTTATTGATGAGGAGGAAGCACAGGCTGTTGATAATGATGACATGGAGGTTGTAGATGAGAAAAATAAAAAAGCAAAAGATAAAAAAATTGGTGGACTTAAAATGTCAATAAAATTGAGTGGAAATTCTTCAGCTGAAATAGTTTCTGGTATTGAGGACTCGCCAGTGAAAAGAAAAAGGAAGTTGCCCAAAAAGAAATCAGAAAAAAACAAAGCTAAAACCAAAAAGTTAGACCTTGAAAAGTCTGAACCTTTTTTGGATGATATGCAGGTTAAAGATGAGACTGTGGAAGAGACAAAGGAAGAAATATCAGAGGGAGCTGCTGCAGATATGACAGAGAAACACATGTCATTGTTGCAAAAATATTTCTCTACTGCCAGTTCTGCAACTGCAGCAAGGCAGACAAATAAGAATTCTATTCCAAGTAAAATTAAAAAGCTTAAGAAGAAAAATGACAATGGAGCGGGTAATAAGTCTAAAGTTGGTAAGCCAGGAAAAGTAAAAACTGGTCCAAAACAAAAGACATCTGTAAAATTTAATTTAGACGATGAGACTAAGTCTTTAGAAGACCCTGATTCAGCAACTCCTAAATTTGTTTGTGGGTACTGCCCTCTGCGATATCACAGCAAACAAGACTTAATGACTCATATGGAAGCTCACATGGTGGAAATGGAAGGTAAAGATAATGCTTCTGCAACTCCCTCAACAGAAGACAAGAAAAAAGATGCAGATAGTCAACCTAATGCTGCTATCAGCAGAGATCCCAGATCTAACAGACTTGGCTCTTCAGCCAGCACAAATCAACCAGTTAAACCTCCGCTAATGGAAAAAGCTAAAACTCGACCATTTATTGAAACTGTCAAGGAGAACAAGCCTGAAACATTGTCAATTAAGAATAAGTTTAAATGTGGAGAATGTGATCAAATATTTAACTCCAAACCTAATCTGCTAGATCATGTTCGTATCCACACAGCCGATAAGCCTTTTGAATGTGACATATGTCACAAATGCTTCACTGAAAGAAACTTGCTATCAGCTCACCGGAAAACCCATGTCCAAGAAAAGCTTTTGCGGTGTCATATGTGCAGCAAAGCTTTTGTTGATAAGGCAGATCTCAGTTACCATATGCAATCTCACCCTAAACGCTCAATGACCAATTCCTCTGTAAAAATGTCTTTTTCTTATAAAAAAGCTGTGAAAAAAACTGTGCTGGAAACTCCAGAAAAAGATTCTCCTTCCCTCAAAGCACCAACTTCATTTGCATCAGCTTTAAGTGGGGAGCCTGAGACTTCTGGCAATGCTGCTCCATTAGTTATTCTTTTAAAAAGAGGAGATGCTCCTAGCACTAGTTTGTCTGGGAAAAGCTCTGTGTTAGATTCCAAATGGCCACCTAAACCAAGTCATTCTCCAGTTATGTCTCAAAAAGTTCCAGCTAATGTTACTGATCACAAGCAAAAAGAATCCGACAAACTTGATGTCGGCAGTAAAACTAAAGACTTAAATAGCAAAATTACAGTACAAACTCAACAAAATAATAACAGCACAACTGTTTTAAGCAAGGCAGGAGAGCAGAATGTGTCTGATGTGTGTAGTTGTAAAGAGTGCCCAGATTGTGTAACCAGGTTCTTACAGAGTTTTGATTGTTGAATGTCTCTGAAAGAATTTTTTCTTTTTTTTTGGTTGATTGATATTAAGGCTTCTCCTTTGTTGATGTGCGTAGATTGTAAGGTCATAGTCACCGCCACTTGTATTTTTTTTTTTTAATAGTGATATCAAAGGTGAGGAAATGATTTATAAATGCTTTTTAAAATCATGACTCTTTATAATCTCTCTCTTTTCTTCATCTACTGAACTCAGTGTCAAAGCTTCAAGTCTGTGTTTTCTTTTAATTTAATCATTACTAAAAAAAAAACATAAAGGGTTTGTTGACATCATCTTAAGTTAAATATTTTTTCATTGGGTGTGTTGTAAGCTATGTTTTATTGTAATATTTTACATTTTTTTCTGATGGAATCAACTTATCTTGTCATCTGGAATCAAATTTTGGTTTATAAAAAGAAAGAAGAAAAAAAATAATTTTCATTATATTATATCTTATTGAAAATCTTAACTATCTCCTCACAAAAAAATTGGTCAGTGTAAACCCAGGTGCAGACAAATACATTAAATAAAATTCAGGTTAAATTTAAGTTTGGAATCTGTTATTAATTTCAATATCTAGACTAACATTATTTGATTTAAAAGTTGTACAAAATTATTTTATATCAATTAAAAAATTATTTCAAGGTGGATAAAATAGAATTTTTAATTTTTTTGTTTCATACTTTGATCACACTATACTACTTTCATTTAAGTGGCTGAACATAAAGAAATCTGAAATGCATTCATGGAAATTTTCTTGCCCTTAATTTAAAATGTATTTTAAATACTTTTGTCACTAACCTATGTGTTAACATTTTTTACAGTGGATGAGGATTTAGTTTAATTAAAACCTACTAACTTATGTTGATTTTTAATTACAATCTTTTGTAATTGATTGACTTGCCAGCTCACTTCTAAGATTTTATTTATTGATCTATCATTTATGAATATCTAGATAATTCAACTGAGTCAATGGTCTAGAAATATGCATTACACATAGTCTAAAACAGGCCATGCTTTCTCAATAAAGAGAGCAAAGAACAAGAAATGTTCTGTTTGCATATTAAGTGTATGACAGGGTTTACATTTAACTTTAATTACGCAAACTATTCAGTGCTTTGAAATTCTAAGGTTGTAATACGCAAAGAGATGCTCCCTGTTAATTATGATTTTCTTATTTTGGTTGTGGAGTACTTTTATATTATTCTATCTATTACTTATTCTAATACATATGTCTTGACAATGCCCTTTATCATGTGATGTTTCAGCATTGTTACATCAGAATTGTTACATTTTGCAAGCCATAATCAACTAATGCTTCCAATGATACTATACTCGTGCATTTAATAAAAGGCTGTGAAACTTATTAAAAAAATGTTGTATGGCGTCAGTACACGTACGATTTTAAAATATGAGCATCATCTATAAATCCTATACATCTGAAACCAAAACCTAAAGAAATTGTTGACATCATATTTGCAAGAATACAATTTGTATATATAAATATTAACTAATCAATTTTCAAAGAAGGGGCAACTGAAGTGTAAAGAATTTTAAATTAAAGCCTAAGATTATCTATTAATAATTATTGTTATAATTAATCTTTAAAAAATTAAGGTGTTTTTATTGCTGCTGTTTAATTAATGCTACTCAAAGCAGACAGATTTAAGCATATTAAATTACTCTAAATTTAAATGTACTGTGTAATATGGGTGCTTTTATCAGGAATGCTTTTTAATTTGCCAATTTGCTGAAATAGTAATAAAACTTGAAAATTGTTTTATTTAGAGCTGTTAACCCATGTCATCCAAGTTAATTCTAAATGATAAATAGAATGGAATTATACTCTCAATGAAATAACATGTCATTTTTATGTGTCTTATGTTGCTCTCATTCACACCATGATAAATACATGTACATAGAAATGTAAATAATCTGCTTCATTGTTTTGTTATATAAAAAAATTAATTGCTTTAAAGTTACGGAATAATTTCAACTTGGTATGATTGCCCTGTTGTGTCTAGGATCTATGAGGAGTGAACTGAAATTAACAATTTTTTTTTTTTATGTTGTATAATACATTCAGTTTCAGTGAGTTACCCTCCCGTTAAAAGATACAAACTATAGATATACGTTTAAAATGTTGAGGCTTTATTAATTAAGTAAAGACCAGGGTGCCACTTTTTCAGATTATTCCGGATCCACAAGTTTTTATTTTCTCTGGCTCCAAGTTCGCCAGTTCAGTTTATTCTAATACGGATTCTGGGTTTTAAAAAAAAATCAACATGTAAGAAGGTGGGAAAGCCTATTCAGCGAGAGCGAGTTTGCTATAAATAGAAAAAGTACTGCGACCTCTCCCTTCTCTTTGCAAGCCTCTCGCTTTCGTTTGTAATCATTGCACAAGAAACTATTTCTACAGTGTATGCATTTTATGTGTTTTGTTGAGTTTCAGGGTTTAAAAAATGGGTAAATAAAGTTTCAGGTTTCAAGGAATTTTTAGAAGGGGATTTCAGGGTTCATTTTTTAGTGAGTTGCACCCCTGTTAAAGACATAAAGTAATGAATGTTTGGCTGAAAGCCTAATTATGTATTTATATACCTATCTGAGGGATTACGATCACATTTTCAAAAAGTATATAACAAAAGACCTGAACAAATCAAAGACCTTGTAATTTTGGTATATATTATCATTTAATGAAAGTAACATTGTCTACAAAATTAGCTTCTGGTCAAATAAAAGCCCTTAGGAATATTGTAACTGTAAATAAATGGCATAAATAAACATAGCAACAAATGAAAAGGGTAGAAGCGGAATGAAAAACTAATAAGCTGTTTTAAATCTTTGCATGCCATTTTAAATTCATTCAGTCAACAGTGCTGTCTTAACACATGGGCCTACCCAAGGGCTTCATATGCATGTATACTACGTATAGTTTACTTCTTAACAATACTTGTAAAAGTCAAAGAGAACCATGATGAGGGCCTACTGCATTTCTTTGCCTAGGCCCTACTAACTTCTACTTTCAACATTATTTTTACTTATTTATTACTTCATCTACTGGTTCACCCTTAAAAAAAAGCAATATACCAATCGTGGGGGGGGGGGGGGNNAAAAAAAAAAAAAATATCCAAAGGGGGGGGGGGGGGGGGGGTAACTTTAAATGATATTCATACAAAAAATGTAATTTCTGCCTTAAAAAGATGTGTGCATTCATTGTTTTGAGTGTTCCTACAGTGTATTCTATTTTAAATCTAATCACTGCACTTTCAGTTGATTAATGGCTGTTCTGTGCTGTCTTAAGAGAACTATGCACACAAGGCAGTCGTCCTGGGACCTGTGCTGTCAAATATTTTTTTTAATTTGAGACATCCTGGAAATTGGGTGGATAGAGCCGGTAGGGGCCTACATAAAACTAAACTAGAGATTGCATGCACTACAGGTGAGGATTGGGTTAATCAGACAATTGTATTTTTTTATGTTCTGACAATTGTATTTTTTATTTGTGGGGTGCAGCATTGAGCTAATTTTTCAGCTGTGATCATTCTATTTCATTATTGAACCAATAAACTTATTTTTAATTCTAAAATCTTGGGGTAAATAATGAAATTATAAATAATTACACTACTTCATAGAAGCAAATCAGACACTTGAGTGAGACATTAAAAAAATTAGTAAAGATGAGATGTTTATTCTTTGAAAAATGCAAGCCTTGTCAAAACTAACCCTAATATTTTGGACTAAATGCCATTAGAAAAGAATATAGTTGTTCTCTGTATTTATAGTTTTAAGGTCAGAGTATCAGTATCAAAAGAAATGTCAGTCTCATAATCACACGCTCCCATTGTAAATACTTTAAATGAAAAAAATAGATTTTCAAAGTCTTAGGTCTCTTAAAATGTATTTATTGGATTATAAGGAATCAAGTCATTCACTTATCTCTGGTAATAGTAAATTTGAATATCAATTTTTAAGACATTTTATCACTCATTACTGCCTAATATGAAATTGAAATTCTTTGGTTAATTAGTAAGAAGCTAAACATTCATTGTTTATAATCTGATGAAGACTTCTTTATATTAAGGGCCCACGATCAATATATTGATCATTCTATGTTGTTAGAGGGATTTTTATTTAACACCAGGCAATAAATACAGTTAAAATATAAACATTTTTATTAAAATAAAAGATATTTTCCTAAATCTTAATTTCTGAGGGAGATCTAAGACAATATTCCCACCCTACATAATGTTTTCTGTTCTAAATTATAGATTGAATTTAACGGTGACAGTTGTCAATTTTCCTCGGTCTTAACTAAACTACCACAAGCCTCTAATCCACAGAATGGTATTTCTGTAACCATTGTTATCAGGCTATTAATTAATTAGTGGGTTTATTTTAGTTCTTACAAATAGAAAAAATCATTGTTCTTTTATTAAGTAACTGTCATTGTGTACAACAGCTGTTGAAAAAGATATAAAGATCAGAGTGGATTTATATCCTTTGAATTGTTCAGATTTCAAAAGCATATATGTTAATGAATTATAAATATATTATTTTGTATCCCAAACTATCCTGTAATAAACATGATCATTAGGGAAAGAATACCCATCAAACAAATTATTGCACACTAAATGGCCTCCTTCCGTCTTTGTGAGACGATGGAGTAGCTATGTAGTCCTACACTTTGACGATTGGCTCACTAGGCCAATCCTAGAATGACAATCTCGACTGCACAAATGGTTGCTTAATAATCTTAATCATTTCTGTGGAAATATTTTATCATCAAGTAAAGTAATATTAAAGTACATCCAAGGTATTAAGAAAGCAGTAAGATTCAGGCAATATTAAAATAGTGTCTTTAACTTTCAGTGTTATTTAGAACAAATGTTTAGGTTCAGTGGGTTGATTTTTCATTTTGGGAGATCAGTATTATATTCTGAGTTCTCTATAATAAGTCTATCTTCTTTTGTCAGATGATGTGGCCACCACATTGGTAGTAAATTTATCACATTGTCCAACAGTTTATCCCATAGTTAGTGATGATTGCAGTGTATTTTATAATAGTCATTATAAATTCTTATGCACTAAACAATTAATATTTTGGTTGTTCACTATTTTCTGTTTCCATAACACTTGAGAATTAGCTACTTTCAAAAAATGTTTCTTACCATTGTACAGATGAAAACATGGTGTTGTTATTGTGATACACCAATCTTGTCTTGTAGCGGTATTTCTACACTTACCTCTGGTAGGAATGGAAAGAACAAAGCCATTGTCTCAATTTGTCAATGGCATAGTGTATCACAATGTTCTTGTGCTGAGAGCTTAGTTCTAATATTTTATTAAAAAAGAGGGTGTCAAGTGATTCATGTACATGTTGTTTATTAGTAAGTTTGACTCATTAATTTCATGGTTTCAGATTGCATATTTCATTTGAAATGTCTTATAAAGTGCAACTAGAGAAAAGTCAGTGCCAACTTGGCAATATTCTGGTACTGGTATTAATAAACTTAATTCTGAGCAGTTCTTTTTTTTTTTTTCCTTGCTCTGTCAATAACTAATTTTTTAAATTTCATTTTTCAATAGTGCCTGATTCCAAAATACTTTTTACAAATATACTGTAAATATCTTTTATTTTAAACTCTTTTTCTAGCACGGTGTACTTTTTATATTTTTTATGTAATGATGTTAAATTATTCTTATTTTTAATTCTTAGCAGTTTTTTTTTTTTTTTTCCTTGCTCTGTCAATAACTAATTTTTTAAATTTCATTTTTCAATAGTGCCTGATTCCAAAATACTTTTTACAAATATACTGTAAATATCATTTATTTTAAACTCTTTCTCTAGCACAGTGTACTTTTTATATTTTTTATGTAATGATGTTTAATTAGTCTTATTAAATGTTCTAAATTATTGTATTTAATCATGTTTGGTAGGGTTCATTTGTTTTTCATCTTTCTTTTATGTGTGTTTAAAAAAATGATTTTGTTTTACATAAATAATATTTCTTAGTTTGTATTTTACATTTTGGGTGGGTATCTGTGTAGCCTAACTACAAACTTTGTTTTGTTTTTAAAAAATTAAGTCCTATGTTAAAGACTGGATTATTATATTAAATCTATTTTATAGGTAATGGAACCATTATCTCGTCTTTCACTGGATTGCATATTATTTAAATTAAATCTCCAACAAAAAAAATAGGTCATGATATATATATATGGCTACATTGTCAGATGAAAATTAATAGTTGTATTATTTTTTTAAATTATTAGGTACCTGGCTGAAATAGTTATATCTGTTATATCTGTATGAAATTGAAATAGGATTGGGCTTATTACTGGTCTGTATTGTGAAATTCATCAGTAACTATGAATACTGTTGGTGTTTACAAGTATTATTTATATATATGATACATGTTCTATGGTTAAAATAAAGTGCATATAATAAAATAATGTCAAATACAAAGGACTCAGTTTGCTTTACTTTTATACTCTTAGTGCATTTTTTAATTTATGCTATTTTTATAAAATATGTTTTAAAAAAACGTATGCAGATATACTCAACACAACCATTATATGCTCAAAGATATACTCAACACAACCATTATATGCTCAAAGATATACTCAACACAACCATTATATGCTCAAAGATATACTCAACACAACCATTATATGCTCAAAGATATACTCAACACAACCATTATATGCTCAAAGATATACTCAACACAACCATTATATGCTCAAAGATATACTCAACACAACCATTATATGCTCAAAGATATACTCAACACAACCATTATATGCTCAAAGATATACTCAACACAACCATTATATGCTCAAAGATATACTCAACACAACCATTATATGCTCAAAGATATACTCAACACAACCATTATATGCTCAAAGATATACTCAACACAACCATTATATGCTCAAAGATATACTCAACACAACCATTATATGCTCAAATTTAATAAATGCTTGTCCAAATAAATCAAATTTTCGTAAGACAGCTCTATGGACTATAATGAATGGTTATAATAATATAAAATACATAGCTAAAAGGTACGTGAAGTATGTGACTAAAACCTCCTTTCCAAACAAATGCATACATCTACATAGACGACAAAGACATGCCACAAATAATGGTATGCTTGGAAGGAAGGTGAACGGCCAAGGGACCTCGGTCAACTGGTGTTGATTTGGTTTTTTTTTTGGAAGCGGGCGCAAAAATATTGGCCCACCCCCGGGGGCAGAACTAACCTCCTAGCTACGCCACTGTTGGTAGGCTTATAGTTTTTATGTATTACCACAATTTCAATATCTTAACTTTGTCATGAATATGTTTCGTTTTTAAAATTAAAAGGCCGCCTTCAAAATTAGGCTATGGACCATGGAAAATTTAATTTGAAAAAGCTTGTTTGCGAAGTGAATTGATCCGGTACCATTTTTCCAATATTTCAAAACTGATTCACTGAATACAGGTACACCCACTGATTCTGACCAGTGGCGTAGCTAAGGTTGGTGTCACCCGGTGCGGTAAACTCATAGTTTCACCCCCGTCACCCCCCCTTTTTTTCCCCGAATTCCACGATGAATTTATTCTTGTTAAAGTAAGTCCACAGTATAAAAACAAATTAATTGAAGGTCAGGTGGTAAATGTATTTGAGAACTGTTTAATGTACTTAGAATCAACCGACCACATTATATGGGATCAATGAAAAGCTTTATATCTAATAATTTAAATAAATTTAGCTTCCTGTCACGTCACTTAAGAAAGTTATCGAACACTTCAATCGGCGTTGAATCATGGTCAAAACGGTATTTTTATAACTTAATTATAGGGCCACCTTATTTCTGACGCATCAACATTGGACTCTGAAATAGGCACGCATTTGGATAGTTCACATATGTGGAAAATGTACGTGTGATCAGCAGGGTTTCTTTCAGCTATATTGGCTATATCTCGGGGGGGGGGGGGGGAGGCAAAAA